GAAGGGCAAAGCTGCGGCTCACAGGAAGGCGCTCGCACAAAGGCTCCTGTTTGTTTGGAAGATTAACACTGTTTATGAGTATCAGGAACTGAGGAAGAGCAACTACAGATACGCAGCAAGGGGAAATACCAGGCTTGGTCGTCTTTAGCGAGCTCCTTGCTACGGGGCTGGGTAACTCTTGTTGGTTTCACGTGGTGAAAGGCACATAGAAACTTTCATACCGGATTATACAATGATTTATTGACTTGACTGACCAGGATATATTTTTCTTGAGCTTTTTTTTTTTATCATAGGACACTCCTAACAAATCTAAAATTCTCTGCATTAAAAATATGTTTCCAGGTGCCTATTTTGGAAGTGTTTCTCTTTGTTTCCATTCATCCTAAATAATAGAAAGCTGTAGGATCTAATCCTGTGTCTCCTGGACTCTTCTGGTTACCTGTTCTCCTGGTGAGAGGTAGTGTGTCACCAGAATATAGGACACCAGGGTGGCGATTAGGAGGCCTGGGTTTTGCTCCTCACCCTAGTTATGCTCCTCACTCTAGAGATGATGTGTTGGGACCTTTGAGGAGCTATTACATTTCGCTCAGCTTTTTTTCTTACTTTGTCTTGTCTATTTGGATAATGACAGAAGCATTATAGCTATGCACAGCACTGTAAATAACACAATCCAGATGCTGTTTGCAGCTTTTGACAACTTTATATTTGTGGTTCTCTTGCCTGGAAATTCTTCTGTGTTCCTTTGGCCTTGCCGTTTTGAAAGTTTTTGGATCTGGATTTAACATATGCAATACATTGCCATTCTGCACGGGCGTTCTGCTACAGTCATTTTCATGACCCTTTCCTTAAGCTGAAAATGAGGGAAACTGTAAAATAGTAAGGCAGCATTTGAAAATAAATAGTTTTTCAAGCTATAGTCGCAAGCAGTTGTTTTTCTGATTTTTCAAGCAGCTTTTTTTTTGCCCTGTAAGTTGAACAAAAATCACTTTAAATGATCAGACATGTCTTAGCCACACTAAATGACCGTCTGGTCCTGAGAAGGGAGTTGCCGCTGAGCAGTTTCTCTTTTTGGAAAAAGTGCTCCAGATATTTCTTTTTAGAATGTGTCTTTTGGAACGTCACTCCTTCAAGGATGGCAACGATGGTTAGCTTTATAAAAAGAGCTCTAAAAACAAGGTCAAGATTTTATTTGCTCTGAGGATCAAATTCTCAATAGGAAAAAAAAAAAACATTTTATGCCTCTTTCTAATGCTGAAGGGAGGAAAAATGTTCTAAAAATTATTTCATTAGATAATCTTGGAGACCTACAAGGTAACTATTTTAAGCTCTGTGTCCTTCTATCAGAAACACACCCTTAATAGGAAAGTAGATGAGCCTTTCACAGAACTGTGAGGATCAGCTAAGCATAGCCTGTGTTAAACCAAGCAAATTCCAGGGAGGAATTTCCATTGCTCAGGTTTTTGCCATTTCTCGGGCGTTCACGTCTAGAGCCCGGATCCGACGCTTCTGCTAACAATCACCCACTGTGGCAGTGCAAAGACTGAAAAAACTTCCAGAGCCTCCTTGGTCCAATGGAGAAAAGATCCATTAGCTGCGTGCCTTCCAGCTACTGAAGGCACTGAGCTATAAACTGTTTCTTCATCCCTCCCAGCAGTTTTACACACACATCGGGCAGATGTACTGGAATTCTTCCGGAATGCTTCGGCGGCCCCATTCTGTTTTCGTATCTCCCAGACGTGAATACCTGATGCCTATCGGGTCCAGGGAAAGCAAAGAACGAGGGTGTCTGGTTTCAGAGGAGGGAGCTCTCCAGGGCAGGGCGCTTGAGTTTTATTCACTTCTTCCAAATTTAAAACAGTTAATGACGCAGGTGCAATCACAGTTTACGCAGTTTGGAATCCAAATCGGAAGATGCCAAGGAAACTGGAGTCCAGGATGCTTAAGACATTCATTCCAAAAAATGGGATTTTTGAGATCAACAGTTACCCTGTTTCCATGAGACTTTTTGGTTAGGTGGCAGGGGTGCAGGTGTAAGGGGCTTTGTCTGTAACCTCTCTGGAGAGGGGAGCGCAGGACCTGTGTCGGGAATACAGTTTTCAGCATGGGGTGGCAGTGCAATGTGGCGTTGGGATTAGCACCCACCATGCATGGGCACATGCTGCACTTGTGCAGACTTTCTCTTCCCCCTGTTTTAGGACTATATCCTAACACAATCCCCTAATTCACTCCTCCTTTTCCCATAGTTCATTGATTAAAGGTGCTCCTATAGACCTCTTTTCCAGCACTCTGCTGGGAAGAAACAACGAGAAGATGGGACCAGGAAGAGCCAACTTCGCACAGGGAGGAAAGGCACTGAGTAGCACTGCTTCAGCTGAGGGGAGAGCAGCAGGACAGCAAGATTTATAGTAGTAATGATACATTTGGAGGGGGCAGGCTTGAAATTTTGTCCTGCTGAGTTTCTAGAACTGGTATAATTGGCCAAACTGAACCACCCTTTCCCTGATGATTGCTAGAGGTAGCTTGTGAGCTAGTGCAGACGAAGGACCTCGGCGCGGTAGCTAGTTTTCTTGCACCAATCATGTCTGGATGCGCCAAAGGGTAATAGTACAGATCAGAAACCAGCTCCAGTTGTGTTTAATTTGTACAAATAAAGCAGTAGTGAGGGGTATTGTAGCTCTCTGTCCAGTTTTGTGACATGTATACTGCACCGGCATAAGAACTTAATAGTTTTATATCTCTTGGTATCATGTTCACTTGGAATTGTGATACCACTATGAAATGACATATCAGCTGTCACTGTTAAAGAGCAATGATAAAATAATTGCTTGGACCACAAATTCCTTAATTCCACTGCCTACAAAACGGAAAGTCAGAGGCTTGGCAACTGTTAAATTTATAGATTTAAAAGGAAACTTGTCTTATGTTTCTGACTCGTGGCTTGCTTGAAGGAGGCAGTTGTACTGGGCCCCATGCAGAGATGCCGACAGTCCAGGTTTTATCTTGGTAGTGGTGAGATGGCGAGACGGGCAAGTGGCGGAGGCCCTGTAGAATGGATGGAGACCAACTTAAATTAAATAAATACTTGGCAATTAACACATTTTATAAATTGCCAAAATTGTCTAACAGGGGCAGGGAGAGCAACAGGGTGGATGTCACACTCATACTGAAGTCCTTTCTTAAAGGACTTTCTTAAAGTCCTTTCTGTCATCGCTCAGTCCCATATGTGAACCCATAATTTTATCAATTTCCAGCAAGACTATATACAAGTGTCAAGTATATTAAATGGTACCAGTCTAGTATGTAATGCAATAAGGAAAGAGAGTTTTGCATCTTCCCTGAAAAGAATTACTTACCATGACTTCCAAGTACTGGTGGGATTTGAAGGTTTTTTTTCCTTCACTTTTTACATTAACTAGAGGTCATCCTGTTTGGCCCTATATTTTATATATATATATATGTATATATGTATAAGTGACCTTGCCTGAAAATAAGACAGGGTATTCCTTTTCTTTCTGGATCTGTGTATGTCCTAAATAAAAATATTTTCATTCTATTAGTAGCATAACAGATGAAAGCCTGATACTATTTAACTTGTTTGATGTCTCTTGTTTCTTGTAACAAAAGTGTCTGTTTTGAATTCCTTCTGTGTTTGAACAATACCTAGAAAGATGTGAGTTGAGTCATAAAAATAGTAACAGATTCAAAAAGTTGGTGTCTTTCAGTAGCACATGATCCTCCTTTATTTCTAATATTTTGAATAACATGATGGCTCTACTTTTGTTAGGAAAGTGGAAATATGGGGCTTTTATGTTATGGTAAATAAATAAAAGTCTTCACCACTGAAGAGTTCCTGAGACTTCGTAGCTGATTTTACACAGAATTGTATTTTGCATGGAAAAGAAAAGGCAGGGCTGGAACGTGGTAGCTTTAGCAGGCAGGTGTATTCTAGAATTTGCCAGATGCTGGGGTGTGCGTCTCTCCCGAAGCAGAGGGGGTTGAACAAAGATGCTACATCTCTAAAGGAAATTCGGGTGGCAATTCTACTTCAAGAAACCAGCCAGCCCCCATACCAGAGTAACCTGGGATTATCATTCAGAAAGAAACTGATTTCTCATGAGATGCTATCCAAAAGCTCACTGCATCATAAAATACTTTGGAATACCACTATTTATACTACATGTGCTCAAGACGCCTTAAAGAACATGATTTAGAGGACTGAGCAGCTTCTGCACTTATATTGGCCTATCGGCATTTCTTTTTACCTTTTTTTTTTTTTTTTTTTCCTTTCAGTGCTCATAATAAGGAAGGAATTTTGGAGTAGTGATTTTGGAATAATATAGTTATTGTTTCTGCATGGAAAGAAGAAAATGGAATTTTCCTATACTGTAGCTGTAGGGACAGCTCAGATTTTGTGGTGACTTCTCTTTTTGGAGTGGGCAAAACTTCTTCCACTCCCTCTTCCTCCTTCTACTTAATTGAGGACAATAAGTTTAATTTTCCTTTCTGAAATACTATAGCTTCACACTATAAAATAGAGCTTTTTCAAACTAAAAAAATATCTGAACTACTTTCCGTAAATGCTATCTGTAACATAGAAAAGATGATCTTTCAGTTTCCTCTGTTGCATTTAAATAGCAAGTGCTGAATCTGCCCACAGGCAACTGTCTGCTCTTTTTCTTTTCTCTTTTTTTTATAATTAGTAGTGGAGAAAAGGTTTTCCTCTTGCACATATTTCACCATCAAAATCTGATCATGTGCTTGGCATCCTTTTCCATAATAAACAGCCAGATTTCTCTTTAACCTCAACTGAAATAGAAGTTTAGTCTATTTTTTTTTCTGTTGAATTTTCTTTCCCTTTGCCTTCCTCCTCTTCATAGTGACTCCACTGGGCTTTATATGTTGTACACATAAATCTAGATCTAAATGTATTTCAGACAAAGACTTTCATCCACTGCTGAATTGTCTTGACTGTAACACAAATTTATTTTCTATTCACTAGAATGTTATGGAACAGTTCAATCCAGGTCTGAGGAATTTAATAAACCTTGGGAAGAACTATGAAAAAGCTGTTAATGGTAAGTCTTCTGTATGTAAACTGTAGAAAAAAAGGTTAAACTTTTAATTAAGTGTTCATATGATATGTGAGGGTTGGGTTATCAAATTCCATGTTGACCTCCTCTTTAGTAGTAGAGGAAAAATATGATTTGGGCTGGACAGTTCAGGCACTGTCCAGCAGAAGCTGCACCCCAAAAACTTACGCACAGAGCTATTGCAAAATAAGCTTAAATATAAATAACCTCTATTATAAACATTATATAAATGAAAAAGCAAACACTTACATAAATTAATTAGGTGTTTTCTTTTTCCTGGAAGTATCTTCCAAAGGTATTTTCCATTCCTAGATCTCTGCCTGCTCACCTATACCCATGTAGTAACCCAGGTGCATAATCCTGTGAACAGATCAGTTTTAACAGATAAGAATTGCAGGAGTGGACTAGGTGTTTTTTTTCTTTTTTAATCCAAAATAAATCAGTTGCTGTCCCTTTAATGAAGTCAAAATCAGAATTAATAAATTTGAATCAAAGGGCCTGATGTCTCCAACTTTTAATGATGTGGTTGCTTACTTCTATTACTGACTTCAGAGAAACGACTTATGTAAAAATGGGTTTTCAAGACTGAGCTCCAGATTCCCCAAACTTGTACTGTAGGACCTGCTAAAGCTTGCTCCATTTCACTTATGCATACCTGTTGAACTGCTTGATACCATATTAAAGCAATGTAAAATCTCTCTAATTTTACCTAATTTCCACTCTGTGGCATATCTTTACCCTACACGTAATCTAGTACTCTGAGAAATGTGATACTGCAGAAGTAGCGCATAACCAAGTAGACAGTGAAGTCTCCCTTCATGCAGATTTTAGGTGAGGCTTGAGAAAAAGATGAAACCTCAGCATGTTGGAGATGAAAATAAGGGAATTTTAACTTAGTCACAATAATAGCAAATATACTTTAGAGATTTTAGATCTCAGATGAAGCACCTATAAGTAGTAGTTTAAAAAGAAATGAGTCCTGTATAATGCAGAAGGGCCTGAAAGCTCATAAATAATCCTTGTTTCATTTGGAAGATGGAATCCACTTCAGGCTTGTCAGGGAATGTACTGGTAAGTGACCAAATATGTCACCTTTGCTAGTAGAAACTATAAAATGCACATCTAAAATGGTATCACTGGCAATTGTAGTCTTCCCCCAAGAATATTCTAAATTCATCTGTTAGTGTCTGCTTGGATTAAGCTTTGGCTATACTTTGGGATAAGAAATTAACTATTAAAAAAAAGATTTAAATAATTTTCCTTGCCTTTGACAATAAACCTTGCCAGCTTTTCTCATAACTTCATCTCTGCAGTATGCAGATCAGTTCGAGATACCTTGAAAATGTCAGGAATCCCCTGTGTGGTGCAGATCTGCTCTCTGTGTATTCTGTTGCCCTGCTGTGCAAATCTTGGTGTTTCCCTATTCATTCCAGCAAAACTGGCTTCACTGTTTAAATCAGATATAACCAGGAAATGATTAACTGAGAATAAATGAAACCTTAGTGATATATGTCAAATGCTTCATGTTTCCTGTAAAGCTGGAATTGAACTATGGACAGTAGAATTGTGGAGGGAAAAAAAAAGTTTGTCCTGAAAGAAAGATAAGTGTCCAAGGGTTAACTAGGGACTGTCTGCTTGGGATTGCAAAAACTTCAGGATTCTCCTTAGATTGTGCATGCACCTGTTGGCTAAGTTTTACTTCTTAAAACACTTGGGATACAGCTTTCCCATCTGAATTTAGTAACAAAGATAAGGGTAGGCATCTCCCTGAAGAGTCAAAATAAATCGATTCAGAAATTATGGATATTGATGCTATTTTTTCACCTCTATCCCAGAAATCTACCCCCACTGAAGCTGCTGAGCAGAGTAACTTGCAATAATGTAAGGAATCAAGTACCAGCCGAAAACAGAGAGCAGAAAGTCACATCTGGTTATCTAGCATCAGCCTCTATAACCTGAGGATCGTATTTCAAAGCCTGGGTCTTTGAAGTGTTACCATTTAAGGAGTCTAAAGTTTCCTTGAAGTGGAAAAATCAGAGAGGATCCTGGGATTTCCTTGGCTCTGACTGTCTCACAGTCCCTGACAAGGAATCATATTTGTCACTGCAGCGCATGACAAATGCACAGCACTGGCCTTAATGGTAATTTCTGGGAGTGGCTGTATCAGATGTTTTGAACCTTTCACATGTTATTTTTTTCCCCTCATATATCTGCCACATTATTTGTCATCATTTTGTGATGTGAGTTACTTTATTACAGTTTACTTAATGGTAAATGACAAATTACTTTTGAAGAATTTCATGTCTCCTTGTTGGAATTGTATGTTCAATTTTCTCCTGGACAACAGACAGTTCTCAGTAGCAAAAACTTAGTTTCTGTCTGACAGACCCTTAACTTCGGGAATATGGGGCAGAGACTTAGGGATTCCTAGTTAAATTTGCATTACATTTTGCTTTTTCCAACACAGCTCATCTGTTTCGAGGAAATTTGTCATATCCAGACCAATGGCTCATGACTGGCACTATACTTACCTACAGATGCTAATTACTCCTGAATATACTTGAAAGTTGGAACTCAATAGCAGGCTGCAAATTCATTAATATATTCTGCTGTCCTGTTTTTCTGTCACTTGTTCCCAGAATTTACTAGGAAGCTCAGGGACCTGCCTGATTTGCTGTGATAGCAGGATTCCCTTCTTGCCATTCATCCATTTCTTACAGTCCATCCCAGGCTCCAGAACCTCTTGGGAACATAGATTAATGGAAATACAAAAGCCTTTGATAAATTTTGTTCTAACCTCTTCTTTTTTTTTTCTTTCATCCTCTAAAAGCTATGATAGTGGCTGGAAGAGCATATTATGATAGCCTTGCCAAGATTGGAGATATATCAGCTGATTCTCCAGTTTCTAAAGAACTAGGTAAGTGAAATTTCACTTAATTAAATTATTTCAAGGCACACACTTAATTTGTGTTTCCAGCTGGCATTTCACAGAACAAATGTGAACTAGAAAAGAATTGGAAAAAGAGCATGTTACTCTAAATAATATGGAGATGGGAGGGATTAGATCACTTTAAAATATATTTTTTCTTAGGCCATTAGTGTTTTCATTTATACCATTTTGAAGAAATGCTTTTTATTTTTATATACATTATATATATTTCTGCTCACCTTCTGAATTCAAAAGCATGGGTTTTTTTTGAAGATCACATTATTTTGTAGTAAATAAGCCCAGGGAATTATGTAGATTGATTTTAGTAGGAAGATGAATGTTTAAGGATCTGAGGAGTAGAATGTTGCTTTGGAGAGTGCTCATGTATAATAGCAGTTCCTAGATTAGATCAGTTTTCTGGGAAGAGTTGACCTCAATATTTTGACTGATCATATCACTAAAATTTCTCCGACACTTTATTTTGTAGTTGAACTTTTGGAAGAGGAACAATAGAGTCAAAGATGTAGTTCATTTACAGGAATGTAAAATTAATCCAAGTTCTGTACTTCCCTGAACACAATAGTTGACTTTTGGAAAGAATGTCTTCAGCACTTTGCCTTGTATTCCTTTGGCTAGCACTGAAATGATAGTGCTTCATCTACAAGAATGACATTGCCCTGGAAGCATTTGCAATGTTTCTGAGAAAAGATTTTAACATCACTACAAAACAAGGGAACAGCAACTGTACTGCAAAGAGGAGACATTGCTCAAAGCCTTAGTCTGCTCTTTGACAAACATAAAGACTTGATATAGTTTCTTAGATCTGTACTTTTGATTACAGGCACTGGAAGACTCTTACAATGATGCATCATGTTTCTTCTCTGATAACTTTAATTTGCAGTAGTACATGAACTTAGGCGATTCAAAGGAATGTTTTTAATAATGTTTTTTAGTGATTCGGTTGAAGGAGAAGTGAGGGAAAGGCTGTCCTTGAATGGCGAATACTGCTTCCTCTGCGCCTGCGTGCATTTTTGACAATTTGCTCTGCAACCGCTTCTGTGTGACTGTTAACATTCTGTGTTCAAAGCTGGGAGCGGCAGAACAGCAAACAGTAAAAAGCAAACAGTCCTAATGCAGTTGCTTTCTGTATTTGCTTTGCAAGCTGTTTATACAAAACAGAGTTGCTGGTTTCAAACTATAGCAGAAAAGTATGAGAAAGCATTAACTATTCACAGTTTCCTGTAGCAACAAAAGTATAATTAATACTTTGGTATATTATTCTAATCAAGCAGTTGGTCAGATGTGTGGAGTAACATATTCAGTGAACTTTGTATGACTGTGGGATATTTTCTGTTTGTTTAAAATTAGCCTAGAGCTAAATTCAGAAAACACTTACTTTTCCCTAGCAGAGGGGACAGTGCAGAATAGCTATTGAAAATGTATTTTTCATCTAATTATGAATTTTAGACTATTTTCTCCATAGAATAAATAGAGAAAACATATGTCCTGGCCTTCTTTGGGATCGGGCTTCTAATGCTGCAGTCTGTTCATCTTCTACTGAAACTGCTACTGCAGAAAAATCTTTCTTCCTAATGAAAGCCATGACTGTGGATTTCCTCCAATACACTTTCTGATAGAATATTTATTTTTGAAATACAGAAAGTCAGTGAACATTGGAAGAGGTACTGTAATATGTTTAGGAGCCTGTAAGAAATTATTTGCATTTTCTTATATAACAGTTCTGAAGCTAGGCTACTATACTGAACTCTTTAGCAAAAGATAAAAGGTAAGATGTACTAGGACACCAAGTGTCTTTTGTTAAAAGACTAATTTTCTACATAACTCTTACTTTCTCATGTTTAATGGGCAGTATCATGTAAAGGTCACACTCTGCTGCGATCTATTTCTCTGCGGATCCTCCTTTCCTCTTCTGTGAGAAGCAGCCTTTGGATTTAACAAAATACTAACAATTGAGCAATACTAACTCTGTCACGCATCAGACTTCTGTCATCCTCTCCAAAAGAGAGGTCACTCGTAGCCAGCTAAGCTGCTGTTTTGTTAGTGCCTGCGAGCTGCTGTTCCGGAGCGTATTCTCCTGAGGATTAAGCGAGCTAACGCGTGGTTTGTTTTGTAAGAGCACCAGGCTAAAGGTGACTGGCAGAGAAGCAGGGAGAGGAGCAATTCCCATAATTTTACATCTGCATTTTATTTGTATCTAAATCTGATGTTGAGAATAACTAACTTTTTTTGCTTTTCTTTCAAATTATATTCCTGTACTCTGTATTAATTGAAGTCAATAGTGACATTTCCAGGTATGTCAGAAGATCTTTAAATATTTAAAGCAGTATCCTGGCTCTTCACAAGAAATTAGATAAAGCAGTAATGATCAAGTCCTAAGAGTTCTTGAATGCTTTAATATTTGAGCCCAAATCAAGACAATGTAGTTGGAGTTTCAGTGTTTAGGACTTCTGTAAACCAAATCTTGAATACTTTATCTGAGAAGTAAAAAATTCAAGCATATAAAGTAACAATTGAAGCTAACGTGTTTAAAAAATAAATGGAAACACACCTGGATTAGTCATTTAGCTGCACTCAGGACAATTAGCATGGAAAGAGACCTGCTGTAGTCAGAAATCCATGGTGCTGTTTCTGTGCTTGTGATGATGGCCCTGTCTCATCGACAGCAGCAATGAAGAGGAAGCCTAGCAGCTAATTAACTTTGAGTCATCTAAAATGTAGATGCCTCCTCCGGTAGGCTGGTGTCTCCCTGACCAGACCCTCAGTACTTCCTAGCTGGAAAAGGAGGATTTGTGCCCCTTTACCACCATCACTACCACTCCCAATAGCATATCAACTTGTATTAAAATTACTTTTTTGAAGATTAAACAGGGAAGTGAGGCAGGATTCAAAGTTTTGAGGCCTTCCTGTAGAAGTTTCACCTTTAGTTTTGGGAGATGGAAAAATAATATATCATTTGAAATTCAGTTGTGTACATCAAACTTCCTGTACTTGAAAATGGACTACAAGGCTTAGATGGATATAACACAGTATTCTTTAGAATCTATAGAGAATATTTACTGGAACATTGCACTGAGTCACTTTACAGCTCAAACCAAACCGGCTGGGTGACCTAGAACATATTTACCACCAAGTGCGATGGAAAGATTTGAATCAAAAACACAGTCAATCAATCTCTGCTTCTCATAAGGAAACAGTACTGTACATTCTTCCTGTAATGAGACAGTAAAATGGGCTTACAGTAAAGGGTACAGCTGAAAATTTTCCAACTATCAAGGCAGAATAAAAATAAGAGTAGAAAAAATAGGGAAGAAAATATTTGACAGAAAAGGTAAAATAAATAAAGGGCAGAATAAGGGGGAAAATCATTTAAATTGGTCAGAAAACACAGGGAAAGCACTCTCACCTGTAGAGTGAAATTGGAACAGAAGGGAGGAATCAGATAATGAGAAGTAAATCTGGATATTCTTATTTATAAGATATAAGTTGATTTAAATAAACTTTCTTTCAAGTTTTCGATTTGCCTAAATTTCTAAGCTTATAGGCCCTTAGGTTTAGCTGTGAGCATTAACTGCGTTTTTGCAGTTCAAGTTATTCTGCAATCTGGAATTTCCATTTCTTTCTTTCAAGCTTTATATGGAATCTTCATGGAACAGAAGAACATATGAATTGGTTTTGTGGTTTGCAGTTGTGGCGTTCTTTTTAGTTGTGGGGAAACTATAGTAACTTGTACAATAGTTACTGCATCCCGCCTTTGGACTGGGAGCCTTTTGGAAATGCACAAAGAAGAAAAGCTAAAGAAACAAGAAAATGCATTTCTAGAATGTTAATATTTCATACTATTCAAATTACAACATACCACAGCAGCACTGTAAAATCTTGGATTTCAATAATGCGCTAAAAATAACTTCACATATATATGTTAACCTGCTGGTACGGTGCTAAAATAGTATATTCATGGTGTGTTGCTAACCCTTTTTGTCTTGCCCAAAATATGCTATTATGAGCTTTTGTCTAATAGATTTTGAGTGCTTACAATTTCAATAAACACTCTTTTTTCAATAATCTTTCTTTTCAATCAACCTGTCTTTTCCCCCCTTCATTTACTCAAGGAATCAGGAAGTTCGTTCCTGCACATTCATTGCATTCTTGCTCTCGTATTTCCTTAACCAGCCTCTTGTAGCTATGATAACTGGCAGGTGCTAAACACGTTTATAATATAATGGGTGTAAAGTCTCAATCTGTTGGGTGGCAACCGTAACTATAGGAGTCACCCACAGTCATACGATGGGTCTGGACACAGCCTAGTTTTGCTCAGGACGTAAGCGAAAGCTATTCCTGTTTGACAGCCTGCAAAAAATAGCTTGTAAGGAAAATATTACATTGCATGGTCTTGACCAGTAGAACTAAATCTTGGAAGTTGGGAGTGATAAAGGAAGATTGGAGGAGACAAATTACTAATTTACAATTTACTAATTTCATTGAATCATTCTGTTAAAATTTACCTGGGAACAGGAATGCAAAAGGTGTTGCTCACCTGCAATCTGAAACTGAATTAACTTGGAGAAACACAACTTTTTTAATGCAGAGTAGTTTCACAGTTAAAAACCACTGAAGGTAGTTAATGGAAGTATTAGGCTCAAAGGTAGCTCTGGGATGTGGTTGTGGCAAGACAGGGAGAGGTGGTGGGGGATAACCCTCTAATACCACGTAAGTGGAATCCCCACTTGACAATATCTGCAAGATGGTCTGGGGGGTTTGCACTCCCAGTGCAGGAGGAACACGGAACTCTGCTCCGGGTGTTCTCAAGCACAAAGGACTTGACTGTCTTCACTCCTTCCGCTTTAAAAGAACAAACATACTCATGTAGTGCATATTTGCAGAACAAATACCGTAATTTTAAAGGTCTCCACAATGTTGCTGTGCTACTCCAGCACAAAATTTACACGGGGAAGTGATGGGCCATAACT